TGATTTCTCTTCCAGAGACGGTTAACCCTTTTGGACAGTAGAGGATAAATCATCTTCTTCATTGTTAAAATCTTCTCCTAAATCCTCCATCTCTTCTGCTTGAAGAGCTTTGGACTTCTCATATTTCTTGATTCACTTGAGCGCAATGGATTTTATCTTCTTTTGTGGTTCATCTTGTTCTAGCTCAATCTCATGACTTCTCAAAGAACTTATCAATTCTTCTAGAGAACTGTTGTTCAGATCCTTTGCAAGCTTAAGTGCAGTTACCATAGGCCTCCATTTGGATGGTAAGCTTCTGATAATCTTCTTCACATAATCTTTTATTGAATAGCCTTTGTGTAGAACTCTCATTTCTGCAACCAATGTTTGAATCTTGAGAACATGACTTCAACGCTTTCATCATCCTCCATCTTGAAGGCTTCATACTTCTGAATCAAGGCTAGCGCCTTGGTTTCTTTGACTTGATCATTTCCTTCATGAGTCATTTTAAGAGAGTCGAATATAGACTTAGCAGAGTCTCTATTTGTGATTTTCTCATACTCAGTATAAGAAATCTCATTCAACAAGATGGTTCTTGCTTTATGATGATTCTTGTAATCTTTCTTTTGTTGATCAGTCATAGCTCTCCTAGCTATTTCTTTTCTAGTAGTATCTGTGGGAGGTAAGTAGCCATCAACTACCATATCCCAAAGATCAACATCATGACCTAGAAAGAAACTTTCTAGTCTATATTTCCAGTATTCAAACTTTTCACCATCAAAGATGAGAGGTTTAAAATTGTAGCTTTTGTCGTTTGAATTTGAAGCAACATTAGTTGGTGTGGGTTCAACCATTGTGTTTCCTCAAAGAAAAACTCGTATGGATCTTTATATGACATGGTTAAGTGTTTGATAACTATCAATACAAGAACCGGAGCTCTGATGCCAATTGAAGGTGTGAGAAACACAAGAAAGGGGGTTTGAATTAGGTTTCACCAAAATAAATATTGAATCTTTTCGTTTGCTGAAAGACCAAGTTAACTTAGAACAAAAATAAATGAACACAATTATTTTTATCCTGGTTTGCTGTTAACTAAGCTACTCCAGTCCACCCTTGAGGTGATTTCGCCTTCAACAAGGAATTAATCCACTATAACCAAACCAATTACATCCAGCCCACAATAAGTTTGGTCAACCTTATTGGTAACAAGAGTCTTCTTGAGATCTGACCTTCACTTGGTCTCTCAAGCAATCAATCAACAACAGTTAAATACTTTTAGTGTATTACACTTTTCTTCTTTTAAGCATATTAAATAGACATTTCAGTACAAATAAATACAAATAAGTGTTTTACAGCAAGATACGAGCAACAACTCCTTTCCTATTTACAAAACTATACACAAAATATTTCTCTACCAAGTTTGCACAACTCTTTGGTGTAGTTTTGTTTGAGCTTGATTTAATCCGATATATTTGTGTAATGTTGATTATTACATTTATTCAGCTTCCAAGTCTTTCTTTTATAGCTTGTAAAAGAGATCCGTTGAAAGGATAGAAAGGTAGTCAGAAATCTATATATTTGTTCTCAACATTCATAATGAGAGTAGTTGACAATATAGTACGAAAGGATTATCCTTACGCTACTCTAAAAGATTAGAGGTCACAAACACTTTATGTACCTTTTGTACACCATCGCACTTTAACCATTTTTAACTTCTTCTTATCTTTATAGGCTTCAGATAATTTGAATGTTGAAGCTTGTTGTAGAAGATTTACTCTTGAATCTTAGAACCTAAGTCTTGGAGTCTTGGAGTCTTGAATCATTTGATTGAGTGATTGGAAATTCAAATGTCCAAACATCAAATGCCACAACCAATTATCTTTGTGGTCGACAACAATTTTTAGACATTGAACTTCTTTCGAACTAATCATAGTCTTAAATGCCATGTTCTTCGGCAACAGAGATTTTAAGACCAAATTATTCTTGGTGTCGAACAATTTCAAGGCTCCATCTTTCATAACAACTGAGAAACCTTTTTCGACCAGTTGTCCAATACTTAGCAAAATACACTTCATTCCAGGTACATATAACACATCTTTAATCATAGCTTTCCATCCATTACTCATTTGAAAGACTATGTTGTCAGTACCTTCTGCTTGCAACGAATTATTATCAGCAAGTTTTACCTTTCTCTTCTTCGACTCATCGAAGTATGCCAACCACTCCTTCTGATCATTCATGTGATTCGAGCAGCCTGAGTCGAGGAATCAGATTTTGGATTCAACATGGTTATCTGCAACTGCAACCATAACCACCATACCACCTTCAGAATCATTTAAATCTTGGCGTGCAAGATTTTCTCCTTCTTCCTTGCCTTTTGTCGATCCATTGTCTTTCCTGTACCAACAATGTTTAGCCAAGTAACCCCATTTTTCACAATTATAACATTGCATACCTTTTTTATCTTATTTTTCCTTTCGATAGTTTCCTCCTTCCTTTTTCGAGGATTCAGAAGATCTATCTTCGACCTTATTCTTGTGGGGATTCGACCAAGACTTCTTGTCCCGAGTCTTGTCAAACTTGTCTTTGAATTTGTTGGAACCACCATCCTCTTTTCATGACTGAGCTTGCGAGCCTGTATCAAGTCTTGAACTCCTTTCTTTTTGGAAATCCTCATCTCACGCACGTCCAACGAACCAACCAAATCTTCTACTTTTGTGGTTTCAAGATTGTTGGATTCTTGAATAGCTACGGTAATGTGATTAAATTGAGAGGTCAACGTTCTCATTACCTTCTCAACTATCATCTTATCGGTTATGGTTTCACCATAACCCTTCATGAGATGGACGAGTTTTTGAACCTTCGACGCATATTCTGCAACTTTTCATCTTCTCCCATCGACAACCACTCATATTGTCGATGCAGGGTTTGCAACTTTACAATCTTGACTTTCTCATCTCCTTCGTAATATTTCACCAGAATATCTCATGTCTCCTTCGCCATTTATGCATGAGAGATTCTACCGAAATTAGCGTCATCGACCGCAATATGAATTCAATAAAAAGCCTTGCAATCTTTCTTCTTGACTTCGTTGTGGGCTTTTTTCTGTGCTTCGGTTGCATTTGCAGCCAGCGCAGGAACACTGTCGGTAACTATTTCTAAGGTTTCATATAAACCTATACAATTTTTGCTGTCAAGCATTGGAAGAGAATTTAGAATGCCCTTACCACTAACCATCTTTGCAGTGGTTGATTTACTTGTCCTAGAAACACGATCTCTGATGTGAAATTTTTGAAAACTCGATCAAGAACAATAATCAGAAGTTTTGATACCAATTTGTTAGTGTGTGAGACACTTTTAGTGAAGAGAAAAAGAGAGAATAATAAAGAAAATAAATATTTCTATTATTAAATTGTATAAATAATGATATAAATTATGACTATTTATATACAATTCTAATTAAATTTGGGTCTGCACAACTTATATTATATTTAAACATTAAATTTAATCTAATATTTTAATAAATCTATTTTAATATTTCAACCATATAAATATAATTTATAATTTGAGTCCTAATGATGGTGGTAGTACTTGTCTAACAACAAAGCATGAAAACAAGAGGAGACGCTGTGAGACCATGGTGTGAGGTTCTCAATAGTGAGTCAGGAAAAGTGTTTTAAATGTAATAATATTTCTTTCGAGGGTTATAATAAGAAATGCACTGATCTACATTTAACTCGCCAGAGCAACTTTTAGTCCTCCTAAGGTCAATATGGGTCCCATTCATATGAGAATCATTCTTTTCTTGTTGTAATAGATCACAACAATAAGAGAAAATTTAGAATCTTGACAATACCTTTTGCCTTAAATATAAATATAAGGGTCCTACTCAGTTACTCTACTAAAAAAATATTGACTAACTTTACTCACTTAACATCTCACATGTGTTGATAATTAATTATATTATTTATCATATCATAAAATTAACTTTTGTACCTATACCATTGCTTATAATTATATATTTATTTAGAAATTTTTTGAACAATAACCAATATTCTTAAATAAAATCCGTAAATGACTATATTTCTCTATAAATTATATAAGAAATCAGGTTTGAGTTTTAACTTAAATAATATCTCATACAAGGCATGTTGTTAAAATTATACTTAGACGTCATATGAGATGGTTATTCAAGATAATAAATTCAAAGAAAAAGTGATCAAACAAAATAGACGTAAAGCGAAAAAAATAGAAAAGGTAAGAATTTCTTAATATGATTTTTCATATAATTTTTATACAAGGTTTCATATTTTTGCAGGCATGCTCAGAAGAAGAATATATATATATATATATATATATATATATATATATATGAAATAAAAAGATAACAAATGTGCGGTTCTGGTCATGTCTTAATTATTCGACTGATGAAGTTGGATGAAATGCTCTATTTCCTCTATAAACAATAGAAAAAATTCAAGAATTGACTCTTTCAACATTTAAAATTTTCAGATAAGGCCAAGGAAAATTTATTTCCACAATATTTTTTCTTTTGAATGCAAATTCCACGAGATTGTTTGAATCATTCTTGGCTTTATTTTTCCTGCCCTTATTATTTTTCTGCAAGGCAAATCTAAAAAGCATACTAGGATTAAGAAAAGTCCTATTGTTTGTGTCATATTGCAAGGAAAAGAGTAGCTCCTAATTCATATGGGTGAACTGTGATGCAGGTTCGGTGCAAAAATGAAATCATGCAACTAATCTGCAGAATATTGTGTGGTAGAAAATCTCACAAAACACCGAAAATTTATAAGCTGGACAACACATTTTGCCTTCAATACAAAGGAACAACACTGTTTTGATAAATTCATTATAGTAAGGATATGTGTTAACAGCCTACTCATAAAACAAAAACCAAAAGAATTTATACAGCATTACAATTATATTAGATACATAACATTTTATTTATATGTAAAATATCATGACTTTCTCTCTACATTGCATCTTAACAACCACATAAATTACAATATTTCAGTTGATGAATGGGTTGGAGATGTTGAAGGAAAAGACAAAAAGGGTTTGGGTGGCATTTCCAACACTTGAAGGTTCCCTTCCAACATTTCTACCACTTTATGCATCGATGGTCGATTTGAAGGGTTGGTTTGTATGCACCATAAACTCACCACTGTCATTTTTCTTACCATTTCTTCATCAATTTCATTTTTAATACACTTAAGTCCAAGGTCCAGATTCAATTCAAGACGCTTGTAAATCCAATGTGGAAAGTATAATTCACTAGAACAATCAACTTCAACCTTAATGTTCTTTCTCCGTCCAACCATCTCTAAGACCATCATTCCATAACTGTAAACATCTGACTTATGTGATACTCCACCAAAATTTCTTGAAAACAACTCTGGAGCAATATATCCTGGTGTTCCCCTCGCACCAAATATGGATATAATGCTTTCTTTTCTGGGACATACTTTCGCAAGTCCAAAATCAGAAATTTTTGGACAGAAATCTTCGTCTAATAATATATTATGAGGCTTTATGTCAAAATGCAAAATTCTCGTGTTACAACCTCTATGCAAGTACTCTAATCCACGACCCACACCAACTGCAATATCATATAATGTTTTGCAATTCAATTGGAGATCATCCTGACGTGAGTTTTTGTCTTCATATATGAACTTCTCAAGAGATCCATTAGACATGAACTCATAAATTAGTGCCTTTTTAGAACCATCCAAACAAAACCCCAAAAGTCTAACAACATTAACATGCGAAGTTCTACTTATACTCGCAACTTCATTAATGAAATCTTCACCATCACCTTTTGATTCACTTAAAACCTTCACTGCAACCACCCGGTCATCATGTAACTTCCCTTTATATACAATTCCATATCCTCCCTGGCCTAATTTACTTTTAAAAGAGTTCGTTATTTTCTTGACATCTAAATAATTGTACCTAGCAGCAAGAAGAGGTCCTTGTTCTTTCAAGAACTCCTTAATATTTTGATGGGTTGAACTCTTCTTCCTAAACAAAAGAAGCGCCAGAGAAAAGATATTTCTCCTAATTGCATAAGCCAATATAACCACTGCAATTCCAATAGCCACCACCATGGCTCCTGAGAATTGTAAATTTTTTGCAATAAAGCAAAACAGTGTAAGAAAGCAATTTTTTTTTTGTCGGACTAACTTTTGGCTTTAATTCTACTTCAAAAACATTGTAACGTATTAATGAACATTCACATTCAAGGTCGATGAGTTTTAAGTTGTGTGCTCAAAATTATGTTAACCATACATTACCTATACCCAGTTTGACACTCCGGATCAGCCTCTTTTTCTTCTTGCCCGATACTGCATTAGAAAAAACAATTTAGGTTTGACATATGAAGAAGACTTAGTGAGAGAGAAATATGGTTTGTGAATTTAGTGTTTCACTGACAGTGCTAAACAATAAGCCAGTGAAACACAGCTAAGAAATGTAGTAAATGTTAAATTCAAAATCATAAAGATCACAAGATAGTACTTAGATTGGACACACCAATGTAGTCTCACTACTCTTCCCCTAACTGACTCTGATTATGATATGATATAAGGAATTGGTCTGGAAGAATTTTACAGAAAAATAAACAATGTTTACAAACTTATGTGTGCTTGTGTTTCTATGGTGTGGGTTCTAGTATACAATTTGCACAATAAAATTGCTAGTTGCTGTCAATTTGACATCACTTTAGTTGTAGTGACAATATGCACAATATTCTGTTATGTGTCAAGAATAAGGATGTATTTAAACGGAATGAGAGATAGAAATTTATCTGAAGCTTACCATTATGGCAGTAGAACTTATTGTTGGCATCAAGTCGACATTGGCCTCCTCTGTGGTTGCAGCACTCTTCACAATCAGCAGATAATTCTATTTTAACACTCACCTGAGCAGATACAAATGATAAAATGTTTTTGGTATCAGTCAAGTCTTTAGCTGGAAATTGAAGAACCAAGCAGGATGAGAAAAGGCTACGTTCCTTTTCTTTAGTATCATTGGGATATAGTTTCCTGTTATAATAGATATCATCGGAAGAACAGGGGTATCGAAAATATTGTGCAGGGGGTTCGATATTGTGGCTGCGATTGCATCGGAAGAGAGTTACATTATAAACTATATAAAAAGAAACCAAAGGAGAAGGGGGAGGAAGAGGATAACTGCTATTCAAAGTGTCACAAGGGTTATTTTGCAAACGCTTATAAAAATCTTGATCAGAAAGTGTAATGGTATTCTGGTTAGCGGGACCAGCTAGCTCTGTGGTTCTTGCATTCTTCTCCAGTTGGATAAATTTGGGTGAATAATAACTGTCATCACAGTTATGTATGAGTATGAGGCCGCAGTTTGGTTGGTCTGCCTTGGTGAAAGGGTAACTAAAAATCCCACGACTTCCACAGCTGAATGAGTGTGGACAGTTATCCTGGTACCCGTTTCCATACCCTCCTGATAAAATCAGCACGAGGTGAGAAAGCAAAAGGAAGCAGAACAAATGGATTAGAGACATCCTAACTTTATTGATGTAATGGTGAATGTTAAGTATAAGTAGCGCGAATTGTTACACAAATTATCTTAAGAAATGGATATGAATTATTATTATGTATGAATCAAGTTGTCTAAAAGGAAAAGTCATCTGATACATCGGTTGACTTGGAAAATGAAGGAGAAAGAGTTGATGAAAAAGAGAGGTAGATTAGATTAACCGTAGTCCATATAAATGTGAGATATACAATTCAAAGTTACAAAGATGTGGTTGCTGGTCATGTCTTAATTATCCCACCAATGAGGCTGGATCCACTGCTCTATATCCTCTATAAACAGCACATTCTGGGATTGACTCCTTCAACATTCAAGTTTTTCTAAATTAAATTTTTGTTCCATCTTGGAACTTCCTTGGCACCCATTTTCAAAGGTATGTGAATATTTTCAAAGTGTCCACAAGTAATATAAGGTGAGAAAATAGTATGAAGAGAAACTCGTAAACTCAAGTCGTCATGAATCAGTCAATTGTAGATTATTGAGCTAAAGACCTTATTAATATAATTTGCAGATTCTTTATTCAATTCTCACCATTCTCTACAGCTAGCTGCTTTTGTTAACATGGACAATCACTAGGGCCCGCTACCCGAGACAGTTTTAACGACACTCGTAGAATTACAAAACCATACATTACTATCTTGTTTGCCTATGAGTTTTTAATGTTTTTTATTCTCATTTTGAATTTTTCTCTGCACTGTCCCAGCATTTTTTGTTTCTTTCTAGCAGATAAACTTAAATGCAAATAAACTTAATTGACAACAGCTCTATAATTTTGCTGTAATAACAGATATTTAGCTAATATTTAAGTTATTTAGCAAAATAGTAGTCTTTGTTAGAAAGTATAATTTTTGTTATTATCGAAAGATATATGGTGTATGTCGAATAACTAGTTGAATAGGTTATAAGTTATATTTGACAGAGTTGAATACAACAACTTTTGCAGTAAGTTGAAATGTCACTAGTGCAGAAATGACTTTTTACATCGGTTTTGGATCCGATGTAAAGTCAGGTGATATAGTAAATCAGGGACTTTTTACATCGGTTCTGGGACCGATGTAAAAAGTCCCTTTTTTACATCGGTTATAATATCAGAACCGATGTAATAACCTGTTATTATGCACATTTTTTAAAAAATTGATCCAGTTTTTTACATTGGTTGGAAGTAATACCCGATGTAAAAAGTACATTTTTTACATCGGTTATAATATATGAACCGATGTAAGAAACAATTATTATGCACATTTTTTTAAAAAATTGATCCAGTTTTTTACATCGGTTGGAAGTAATACCCGATGTAAAAAGTCCCCAGTGACGCGACTTTTTACATCGGGTATTACTTCCAACCGATGTAAAAAGTCCCTTATTGAAAGTTTTTACATCAGTTTTACTAATAACCGATGTAAAATGTATGAAATTTTTTTGGAATAGATTATTTATTTTCTGGGTTTCCCTATACAAATATAATTTGTACCCATTTTTTCATATTTTTCCAATATCAAACAGACTATATTTATGTCGCTATATAGATTTCATAGCTTTCCAACATCACATATATCACATTTAGGACGATGTTTTCATATTTTTCACAACAAACTTACAAATTGAACAATTGTATTGCAAACTTGTATTGTATTACAACATACAAACTTACAATTACAAATTCTTAACAAAATATAAAACAATATTCAACTATTTATAAGTCTTTTTCAAAACTTACAATTACATAATATTCACAAAATATACATATACTAAAATATTCAACTATTTCTAAGTTTCCAAACTTGAATTACCAATATAAAATCTTCGGTAGACAACACCAAAATCATATTGCCTGACAATAAATAATAACAATTAACATCAGCAAAAAAATCAAGAAACTCAACACATGAGCAAAAACCACATGTATTGTGCAAAAACCACAACTTATACAATTCTATAAAACTCACCAGCTAAACTTAAGTTCCATGTAAGTCAAAGAAACATTTTGCCCAACGAAGTCGCAAATCATACAAATCATCTGGTGTTAATTCTGTTGGGTCATCAAATACCTATAATACATAAATATAACAATATAGAGTTATTTTTTAAAAATTCATATTAAGTCGAAAAACAAAAAGTAAAGAACAAAGTAAAGTTATTTTTAGTACCTGCATCCAATTCTCGGTTATATTAGCAGAGACAATATCCAACATATTTTTCATCACATAGTATCCACAATCATTAGAGTTATGTTGTTGCCTTGTCTACAATTGAATGACATAATTAGTGAATATTTATCGTATATATTTAACTATAGAATTATAATTTACATCACACTTACATTGGGATGAAGCCATGTAGCCTTTTTTCTATTTCCATTTGCCATTTGATGAATCCCAAAAGAACTAATACAGAAAGATATAAACATCACATAACTAAATATACTCGCCAATGAAAAATCACATAACTATTAGTTGTCAATGAAAGTCACATGAAAGATAAACTTACTTTGTAATAATTTTCTTCGTGTTCTGGTCAATTTCCCGATGAAGTGAACAAAATACGACAACTAAATTGTCTCTTGGACACATGACTATTAATTGCCAATGTCTCCTGTACATGTGTGTGGAAACAGAAAAGTCGCATAAAATATATATGTTATCAAAATCAAAATTAAATAACATAAAACACAATTTCATAAAAATTCTTACCCATGAATTAATGGTAGTAAGTGGCACGCTCTGTTTTCATCACGTAACTTTTCTAGCACGTAATTTTTAACATCTTCTTGAGATTTCGCTACATTATCATTATAAATACACCTAGCAGGGTCCATAAATCCATATAATTCTGAAACGGAATTCTCAAGACAAACACGATGAATATACCTGAATAGTTTTAAAATTAACATTAGAATCAAAGTGATGAGAGATATAACATATTAATAGAGATTGACTTTAATAAAACAATAAAATTTACTTACGTGCACCAAATTTGAAGAATAGACACGTCAAGCCAATGACCTAAACCCACCAATAACTCTCTGATACATTTAGCTGAAACATAAAAATTAGAGACACTCGCACAATGACTTAATTGTATTGCCAAATGGTTATCATCCAATTTCAAAACCATGAGTAACAATTTCTGAACATCATCAACTTCCACGTCTTTTGTGCTCTCTTTTGTGCTTCCCTTTGCAGCTGAACAACTTCCTTTTCCGCTTCCATCAATAATTTCCAATTTTTGAATGCATTTAATATCACCTGTGCTTTGTGATAAACCCATAGACTTAAGTGTCTCCATTAATGATTGCTGAAACATCTTACGCTCTTCAACCAACTTTTCTTCAAGTTCAGCTCTAAGTTTTGTTTCCAATATTGCAAGTTGTTCATTTACGTCGATATGTTGACTTTTTCTTCCAAAGTAAGTGCTTTGTTTATGGTGTTTTCCAACACCACGGACACGACCTCCATGCTCAGATGTTCCAATGGCTAATGATAAGATATCGTTACGTCCATCTGGAACAATTGCACCTTTTTCAGCTTCTTGAACAAGAGAATCCTACAAAATGCAAAAACATCAATTAATCAATCACAAATATAATTATACTTTGTAATAATTTTTCGTTGTTTACTTACAATTTTTTGGGCAACCTCTTGTGTAGATTTTGATGTGTATTCTCCTCCTTTCTTTTGTCGTGCTCTCTTCCATAACTCATGGCGTGATGGTGGAGATTGACTATCATTATCATCTAATGTGGAATTATCTCTCGATGATGACTTTTCTTTCATAATTTTCTCCTCAAGTAAGCGATACCCTCCACGAGACAATACATGTGGGTATAAATTCTTGGCCACATTATCCTTACCCTTCTGACTTTTTTCCTATTATAAACTCAAACAAATAATTAATCACTAAATATAATAAAAATGTTATGCACACAAAAATATATAACTCCTACTAACCTTAAATTCAGGGGTATCTCGAATCTTGAGAAACTCTTTCCAGGCGTCTTCTGTAATAAAGTTATACTTGACATATGGAGGAGGATCATTTTCTATGGGATGATGAATATATCTATCTGTGAGTTGTGTCTTAAAACCTCTCCATCGCTCTCCCGCATATTTAATCCATTCTTTCTTCAACCTATCATTCTTTGGATCTTTACATTCTGGAATAGTAAAATGAGCCTACAAATGTAGTATATGTCATATGTTGTTAATTAGTATATGATTATAAAATATAATAAAGTATTGTATTTAAAATACCTGAATATCAGTCCAAATAGCATCTTTTACGCCTTCATCTACTTCTTTCCAATCATTTTTCACAATGCTACAATACTGTCGAGCAAGAGATGCTATATAACTCTTGAAATTTGTAGCATTTTTACCAACACCAATACATTCATAGGTTCTTGCATTAAACTCGACCTTTATCTTTTCACCTGTTTGATGAACTTTGTCAATTTGTGTCATTAAAGTGGGACCTCTAACTCTTCTTTTATTGGGGTTTGAATCACCCATGTATCTGTTTACACAAAACAAAAATAATTAGAAATAATATTAAGCACAAAATAAAAACAATTAGAAATAAAATTAAGAACAAAATAAAAACAATTAGAAAATAAAGTAACGTGGAATTAACTTATACAAAAAATCTTACTAGTCCTCCCATATCCCTTCTTCATGGTCCATGCGAATAGCATGCACATCATCCCCTTCATTTTCTTCAGTGAATGTAGTCACATTTGTTGAGAAAGGATGAGTTTCAGAAATATCAAGGTTCTCATCATGATTTTCGTCACTATCATGGACCTTTCCTTGTAAAACCACTGACCACTTTTTATTAGAAGGATCTGTGACATAAAACACTTGTTTTGCTTGAGATGCCATGATGAATGGTTCGTTCGCATAAGCTAACTTGCTAAGATCAACCAGTGTAACTCCAAATTCATCGATTCTGACACCACTGTTGATATCAATC